TTGTATATATATATACCGTTAAGATCGAGGGACAAACATTTAAAGTGTCGAACTTTAGCGGGTATGGTTGATGTCTCCACCTAAGTCGGTAGGGGGAGAATTGTTGGGTATACCTCCTTATTGGAGTGTGGGACCCAATTGGTTCGTTAAAGAGTTTTAATTTAGCTTGGTTTAGGTATAATATATTTTTATATATTATATTTGAGGAGACCCAATTCAATTTGGAAACAACTAAGGTTTGATAATAAACCCTAGATTCACAATTTTTGGTGTATTGTTTGTTCGTTGCAAAAGGTGGCGGCTGCTATATACCAATTCTAGTGCTTCGGTAACAGTGTCGAAGAGTGAAGATTTGCTAAGGATACTTGATTTGTTGATGGTTATGTTGCCTCTGTTCTGAAGTTGATTTGGTTCGTTATTTTGGGTCTTCTTCAACTTTGGTTCTGAAAATTTTGGTTCATCTATTTGGTGAGGTCTTTCCTCTTGTTTATTTGTGATTATTTGGAATTCACCTAAGGGTGGTTTTGTGAGACCATTAGTGACTCGTTTGTAATCGTTTGGAACTTATTTGGTTGATAGTGAAATCGGATTTCGATCGCGTGGACGTACCTTACATTGAGGGAACCACGTAAAAATTCTTGTGTTGCTTTTGATTTAATTTTTCCGCATTAGTTTTTATTCCCATTGATTGATTTACTTGTGGGAAATCACCATATTTTCCCTAACATTTGTCTCTTTAGGAAATTTGTTAATATTTTAATAATTTTTTTACAATTTAAATGTACCCAATCTAGATGCACAAAAAATAATTGTAAATTAAAAAAAAAAATTCACCAAATACAAAAATTAACAAAATATAAAAAAAAAATTTCAAAAATTCATTACGAAATGGAGATGTTTATTGCATCTGCGAAATGGTGGGAATCTGTATCTTTTTCTAGAACACGATTGGGCAGCTTGGGTTGTTGTGACATGCTTGAGATGTTCAGTTGTGGGCAACACTTTCAGAGCACCAATTTGTAGTACCCATTTACTACTCTGTCATAAAGCCGAATTCACAAGGCCACCAGTTTTTAAAACTCCTTCGGATGTGTCTTTGTTATTTTCACTTCAAATTAGTGCAATGTCTTGAATTTTTGACATTTTCCATCTATGGTTTTCTGACCAGATAGCAAGAAAGACCTCAGCTACCTCACAAACCTTCCATGTGCATCAGAAAAGCTTCAAATTTTCAATGCAGATCTTGATCTGCCGGAAAGTTTTGATGAAGCTATCCAAGGCTGCATTGGAGTCTTCCATGTGGCTCATCCGGTTGATTACGGGGAGAAAGAGCCTGAAGAAATCAAGATCCAAAGAGCAATCAATGGGACTCTTGGCATTTTAAAGGCATGCCTTGATTCGAAGACTGTGAAACGAGTCGTATACACTTCTAGCGCATCCACCATTATGTTTAACGACAAGGGTTTAGATGTTTTGGATGAGAATCATTGGAGTGATATAGATTATATTAGGTCCGTAAAGATTTATGGAGTTTCATACATGATCTCGAAGACATTAACTGAAAAGGCTGCTCTAGAGTTTGCTGAAAAACATGGATTGGATCTTGTCACTGTAATTCCTACTGTTGTCAATGGACCCTTCATCTGTCCTCGTGTGCCCAGTTCAGTAAACTTTTCAATGGCAATGATCTTCGGTACGTGTTGATTCTTGTGCCCTCTGCTTGAATTTTGCTAGAACTATTTCAGATTATCAAAGTTATCTGATTCAAGTTGAAGCCTGAGTTGTTGCTTACCTTTGTGAATCAGCTTAGCTTGCTAAAAAATAAAATAATATTAGCCCTGCAGTTTTTGAAAACAATTAAGGAGGGCCATCAAATCTTATGGTGATATAGTCAATTGAAGTCATATTGAATTTATTCTTCACAATTATTTATTTCATTCTATGCAGGGAAGAAAGAAAATTGTAAGTATCTTGGTAAAATACAAATGGTGCATGTAGACGATGTGGCCAGTGCACATATCTTCCTTTTTGAATATCCTCATGCAAAAGGGAGGTATTTGTGTTCGGCATTTGACATAACAATCGATAAGATGTTTGAATTTTTATCGGCCAGATACCCAGAATATCCAATACCAACACTTGAGTGAGCTCTAATTTTGTTTACTTTTCTCATATTTTTTGTCTTGTTATTTTCATTTGTCAGAAAAAAACATATCTCAGTCATCACCCCATTTATTTCTGCAGTTCCTTAAAAGAAATTGAAATTGAATGTTTTACACGTTCTGATTTCTCATCAAAGAAGCTATTGGATACTGGGTTCAAATATAAGTACAGACTTGAAGAAATGTACGATGAAACAATTCAATGCTGCAAAGAGAAGGGTTTTCTCTAGAGTTCTTAAAATATCTTTAAGGTTTATAATGTTGTAAACTATGAAATTTTTAGTTTTATTTTTTTTGTCTTTGTTGTGTCAACTGTTTTGTATTTGGCATGTGTATAGCTAGTGAGCATTTGAGTATTCATACCAAAGCTTGGTTGCCGAGGCAATCCAGAGATGTAATTTGTTTTGTGTCATTATAATTTGTGATTTGTAATACTAAATGTGCGGGTGATTTTCTGACCACACTGCCAAACAGGTACCCAGCTGGAGAGCATCGGCAGAATAGATTAAGCCCGAACGACCTGCAACAGAAAGAAGAGCTTCCGGCGGTGGCTCGTCTACCGGGGGGCACTCCAACGATCAAGTCAGTACTTAATATCTCTCAAAGATAACTAATAGTGCTTAACTCACTAGACAGAATATCCAAAGCATAAAAGACATACCTTAGACCCATGGGGGTGCCTTTCTTTTATAGCCAACACAATCCTAGTCCCAATAGGAGCCTAGCTCTAATGGACTTAGGATTACTGCTAATCTGGGACTCCCAGTAGGATTAGGATAAACTCTCTAAGAGTCTCATCTTTAGACAAACTGAAGTCTTCCCTCATTCTATGACTCTTGTCCATTATCCGCTTATCTCGGATTCCGACATCTTCGCAGATAACCTCGACCTAGCCGAGATCATCTCGGCATCATGATCATGACATGTGACACCTCGGCTGACACTTCAGTGTCACCTCGGCCATGTGTTGTCATTCAAAAATTATGTCCCTACAACTACCCCTAGGTTCTATTACCTCGGCATCTTGAGGTGATGGAACCTATATAATTCCTTCCTTTAATCAGGACCCCGGTTTAACTTCAATTTGTAAACTTTTCTCAAGGTTCAACAAGTGTTAAACATCATCTCGGTTTAACTTCAACTTGTAAACCTTTCTCAAGTTTCAACAAGTGTTAAACATTATCTCGGTTTAACTTCAACTTGTAAATTTTTCTCAAGTTTCAACAAATGTTAAACATAATCTCGGTTTAACTTCAACTTGTAAACTTTTCTCAAGTTTCAACAAGTGTTAAACATCATCTCGGTAAACTCTTCTCTTCTCGGACTTAATCATCTTAGGCCGAGATCTTGTCTTCTGGGATCTGGGATCCGAGATCCGGAATCTGAGATCGGCTTACTTGGGCTGAGCTCTTGTCTTCTCATATCCAGTGTTATCTCGGCTTGACAGGTGAGGTCACCTCGGCATCTTGTCGCTTTCTCTGGAGGTAATCCCTCAGATCCTCCTTGGTTCGTTCAGGAGCTCAACTATCTCCGGATTTCAGCCTTTTTGGTGCACTACTTCCTGTGTCATTGCGAGTCCTTTTGGACCTTCCTTCATTGGTCGCGTCGAAACAGAGGTCCTTTCCCTGAACATGCTAATGTTCTTTGGAGTCAGCTTCCTTTGTGCGATGTGTCCTCTGTGAATCTCCCCTTCTTGATTCTCCTCGTCCAACCTCCTTTGAAGGCCGGTGAGAATGTTCCTTGGTCCTATCGTGCTGAGGAATCGTAGGAGTTGTCTTCTGCTCCCTTGCCTGGGCATCTTTCTCAGCTACTGGAATCGACTTATCTTGGGACGGGAATGGTGGCTGCATGACGTTGCTCTGTATCATGAAATTGACAACCGTTTGCAGGTCCGCCAATTTGTTCGCCATTCCTTTCATCTCGTCGTCCCTTCGTAAGCATCTTTCTTTCCATACCTGGAGGTCGTCCTCGTTATAATACTCGCTTCGGTCTGATTTCTTCGGCACGTCGCCCTCCTGGCCGACGTCCTCTTCTCCGTGATTCTTACCACGAGTTTCTTCGTTGTAGTTGTCTTCTTCGACACCAAGGTCAATATGTTTCCCACTCTCAGTAGGAGTGTCGTCCCCAACCTTCTCTTTCGGTCTGTCGTTGGCCATCTATTCTCCTTTCGTTCCCACAAACGTCGCCAAATTGTGTGGGTGATTTTCTGACCACACTGCCAAATAGGTACCCAGCTGGAGAGCACCGACAGAATAGATTAAGCATAAAAGACATACCTTAGACCCATGGGGGTGCCTTTCTTTTATAGCCAACACAATCTTAGTCCCAATAGGAGCCTAGCTCTAATGGACTTAGGATTACTGCTAATCTTGGACTCCCAGTAGTAAGTATCTTGGTAAAATACAAATGGTGCATGTAGACGATGTGGCCAGTGCACATATCTTCCTTTTTGAATATCCTCATGCAAAAGGGAGGTATTTGTGTTCGGCATTTGACATAACAATCGATAAGATGTTTGAATTTTTATCGGCCAGATACCCAGAATATCCAATACCAACACTTGAGTGAGCTCTAATTTTGTTTACTTTTCTCATATTTTTTGTCTTGTTATTTTCATTTGTCAGAAGAAAACATATCTCAGTCATCACCCCATTTATTTCTGCAGTTCCTTAAAAGAAATTGAAATTGAATGTTTTACACGTTCTGATTTCTCATCAAAGAAGCTATTGGATACTGGGTTCAAATATAAATACAGACTTGAAGAAATGTACGATGAAACAATTCAATGCTGCAAAGAGAAGGGCTTTATCTAGAGTTCTTAAAATATCTTTAAGGTTTATAATGTTGTAAACTATGAAATTTTTATTTTTATTTTTTTGTCTTCGTTGTGTCAACTGTTTTGTATTTGGCGTGTGTATAGCTAGTGAGCATTTGAGTATTCATCCCAAAGCTTGGTTGCCGAGGCAACCCAGAGATGTAATTTGCTTTGTGTCATTATAATTTGTGATTTGTAATACTAGAGTTATGAGAAATTGACAAAAAAAATATATTTTGGGTAATTGGTAGGAGATGTGACATAAATAATATCAAGAAAATAATAAAAATCTAACATATAGGCACAAACATATAACAAATCTAACAAACATCCCAAATAATATAAGGCGGAATTGTAGCTAGGGTCACATTGGATCCATCTATGCAGAGTAGGCCAGTTCACAATGGATTCTTCTCCCCAATGGATTGGCTGCCTGAGCAGGGAACAAATGAAACAGCTATCCCTGCTCACAGACGGCCTGAGACATAGACGGAGCCAAATGAAACAACTCACCCTCCCCGACTAGCATGATATTGTCGGCTTTAGAGTTAGGCGAAAACCAACAGCTAACCCCTCACGGCTTTAAAAGGCCTCATACTAGTTTAAGGGAGTTTGTCCACTTATGTAGTGGAGCTGTGATCTCTCACAGAACGATGTGGAATAGTGCATCCACAATTTGTAATAATTAAAACTGATTGTAAGATTGGAAAAAATCAAACCTGGGGTATCTAGATTTACGGTTCATTTCAATTTTCAAGACAAAACACTTAAACTACTACTAAGCTATCCATACGGATTTGGGTAGAGTTGTTATTTCAAAAGTATCAGATAAATGAGAAAATTAAAATTAACAAAGTGCAAATGATATAGACCCGGTGAAAATGACACAATTCCCATTTACATTCACTTACAATTCATCAATTTATTACTATTTTTCTTATTTTCCATTTACATGATGTGTTTGGGTGACAGAGAAATTTTTGGATGAGATGCAGATTCACCAAAGAAAGGGTCACATAGACAATAATTGTCCACATAAACACTAGTCTTTGCAAAGAATAAAATAAGGCATAAAAGATACAAAACAAAGTACTAGTGCAAAGAAAAGTAATATATATATATATATATATATTTTTGTGTGTTTGTGTGTTCATATTCAAATACACATCAATTGAGAGAGAGAGAGAGACAGAGAGATGGTAGGGGATGATAAGGGTATTGTTTGTGTAACTGGTGGAACAGGGTTTGTTGCACCATGGCTGATCATGAAGCTACTTGAACATGATTACACAGTGCGAACTACAATTAGATCTTCTAACCCAGGTAATTAATAAGCCTTCCTCTTTGCCCTTCTCAAAACCTTAGTGTAGACACCCCATTTTTGACCGTCCTCAAGACTTGGACGTCACCGTTTGAAGGCTCGGTGATTATCCATGTTTGTGTTCGTTTGGAGTTCCCGGAGGCCTCGGCTCGCGCGCCTTGCCTCAGGATCTCCGAACTCGACTGTTTAGTGTCTGGTTTCACACCAAACACTTGTGTTTTGCCTTGGAAGGGCAGGGAATGCCTTGTGAGGCATCCCCATACACCACCGGCAGTGGCTAGAGGCCACCGGCTGGTTTTTGCTGCCACCGGCAATGTATATTGTCGGCCGGCACTATTTGTTGCCGGTCGACACCTTTTGTTGCCGGTCGGCACTCTTTTTTTCCAAGATGGCCTTTTTGGCCGGCCGACTACTGTGCATCTGCTTTTGCAGATATTTTAAGACAGCTGTCTTGCTTTTTGCTCCCCTCCATACACGTGTATGGAGGGATCTCCCTCTTATGAAGCTTGTCTTGTAAGCTTTACAAGACAAGAAGTTCCATAAAGAGATGGGCTCTCTCTTGTTGCAAGGGTTAGAGACTGGAGATATTTTAGAGAGCTTAGACAGCCATTTTCATGGTTTGAGTTCTAGGGTTAGGGTTTGATACACATTATCTCTCTCTTTTTCCCTCTTGTGTGTGTTAAAGTGTGCTTGTGTCTTACTATTGCACACAAACACATAGTGTTTCACCTTCCTATAGCTACTGAGGTTCTAAAGGACTGGTTTTAGTGTTTTGGTGTTGGATTCAAGCCATAGAGGGCCATTGGAGCACCATTGTTGAAGAAGTATTCAAGGGTAACAATTTTGACTTTATATTCCCCATTTTTGCATTGATTTTCTACGTATCTTAGAGTTATTTTCGTGCTTATTGTATAACACAAAAAAGTTCTATTTTTTAGCCCTCTTGATTGTTTATTAAGGGTGTTTTGTAGTTTGAGGGTGTTTGACCCCTCTTAGGCCTTGAAAGGCCCCATTTTGTGCTATTTTGTGCTAGTTTCGAGACTTTGGTGTTTGGGCCTCTTCACCACTGAAATCTTGAGGGATTTCAGTGGTGAAGATGGTGCCTTGAAGTCTCTAAAAGGAGAGGGCCACCCCCTCTCCTTGTTGTCCTTAAAATGGACCATTTTTGGCCTCTTGAGAGAGCACCTAGCTAGGCTTCATTTTGACCATGCCTTAGTTGTTTTTTGTGCTTAATATGTCATATTATGCCTCTGTTTTTTCAT